TTTGGAAATTACATTTCATTGACATTGATCCAACTATTATGAGTACTATCAAATCCCAACCACTTCACATATGCCTTCGCCCCCTTCCTCTTCAACACTTTCTCAACCAGATACACATCTGGATACTTGACACTCGCTAATTCCTCCTGATAAAAACCTCCTTCGATTGATTCATCATTATGATCCATCAGCTTGTAAGTTACGGGTATGGTGTTCTGCACTTTCTTGATTGTAAATATTTCTGTAGTCCAGTTTGGGGTGTAGCCTTTCTCGAAAACAGTTTTATACTTGCTGATTCGCACTTGATCACCCACTTTGAATTTAATTTTCAGCTTTCGAATCGCTCCTGATTTTCCATAAATGTTTCTCAACAATAATTTCTCCATTTTTGTGGTGACATCCTTCGGCTTCATTTTGATGGTGCGATGTTTTGTATCATTGTATTCTATTACTAAATCATCTACAATATCAATCCATTTATAGGTTCCACGGATTGAAAATTGCTTCCACATTTTATTTTTCAGTGTTCGATTGAAACGCTCACATATCGACGCCTTGAGATTGCTGAAGGTAGAATACATGTCGATGTCATGTTTTTTCATAAGAGTCTGGAAATTCTTGTTGTAGAATTCTTTGCCTTGATCCACATGTAGTTTCTTTGGAATTCGCCCGTCCAGCAAAATTTTGTTCATGGCAGTTGTGACATCTTTACCATTTTTTGATTTAATAGCAATGGCCCACGCATACTTGGAAAAAATATCAATTACAGTGAGGAGATATCGATAGTTTTTGTTCGAGTTTGCATATTTCACCATGTCCACGAGATCGGCCTGCCACGTTTCATCCAATCCACGCATTTCAACGCGTCTTCTTGGATAATTTCTTCGTGCTGGGCGATGCAGCTCCTCCGCTATCGTTCGTTTTTGGGACTCCATTTAATTGTTTCTGTGTGTCGGCAATTTTACGCCGTCGGTTTTCCAGCAATTTCTCTATTTTTTCAAAACGTGTATTTATAGTGGACTCCAACTCTCCAATCGTCTTCTCCAATTTTTTTTCCAAATCTATCGTCAAATTGTGTTTCACCAGATCGACAGTTTTTTGCAAATTTTCTCGTAAAATTCGCAATGAAATTGCATCAGACTCCTCCAGTGGATCAGCAATGGCACATAACCTTTTACCTTCTAAACTGTAATTTCCATCGAGGGTACCTTTAAATCCATCACCTGGTGGACCTCTCCTGCTAAGAGTGGAGGCCTTACTGCTGTATAACAGGCGTCCGAACACATCGACACTCATGATGCAAGTGAGAGCATTTACGTGAGGGAACATGTTAATATATTATTTCAGCCTCTCGTAATTCTTCAATAATGGAGAGGATTTCATTTGTATGACTGAAATTGCCTGCAGCTTGAGATGCCATGAGTAAACGAAGTCTATCCACCAATTCATTCGGATTATCCCAGTAAATATAATCCATTCTCCTGGCTGTTGTCTTTGGAGCCACCATCAGGTCTGGTATTAGAGCTTCACCACTTTTTGAAGTTGATGATACTAGTGGTAAAATTATATTTGTAAATTTTTCAGTGGGGTTTTTATCTTTGATAGGTTTGGATGGATGATAATACAGTCGATGTGCATGTGTACTCCGTAAAATTTCTCCATAATTTTCTCTATCTGTTGACGTGACATGCATCATCTTTGGATCTCTGTTGAATATTAACATCAGGAGACCTGAAGTTAAATCATATGATTTTTCCTCAATCATCAATGTATCGCCACGGAAAGTAACAATTGCATTCCCAATTTTCCAGTTTTCACCACTTTGACGAACACCAAATTGTCTATCGAGTTCTTTTTCCTTTGCTGTACCGAACTTATTGAGATAAAATTGAAGGAGATTCCCAGTGTCAGACCTGTTTAGGGGAGAGGATTCATCAGCTACTTCTTCCTCAGATGTTGTAGGGAAGACGTCTTTTTTCAGAGAGAAATTATCATCGACAAATGATGGTCCTCCATGTTGAATTGATGGAACTTCATACTTCTCATCTGCTCTGCTTTTTTTCATTCTCTTGATTGTCATCAGACTCTTATAGTTATTCTGCTTTTGAACTTCTGCATGATTAACCAATTTTTCAAGAGGTGTCACTACCGGCTTCAAAGCTTCATTAATAGCACGTTCAGCCGTATCTTTACCAAGCTTTATAGCTCTATATTTATGACGAATGGCTTTACTGGCTTCAGCAATGTGCTGCAACACACTTGACTCTTGTTGCAAGTCCTGGCGCTGCATGTTGAGCGTTATACGTTTGATTTAACACTGTCTCGAATTTCACTAATCAATCACTATTTATGTACACATAGCAATCGAATCCTCTCCGATATCGTCCCTCATGCAATTCACAATCTTTATTAATAGTAATGAAACCATATTTGTCCGTGTTCCAACACGCGGAGCACAATTCCTTGAACTGGGTGTACAGCATATCAGTATTAACATGATCATGATAGATATGCTTTAAATTCATCTCATCTTGACGAAAGAGTATGAGCAAATTCGCATTATCCCGCACCAAATGTTTCGGGATTCGAGCGTAAGTTTGACAAAGATAGAAACTGTCTACATTTCGATGTCGACCCATGCAAAAAAATGCTCGAATATTATCTTGCTTTTCACATGCTACATCATCAAATATCATGATGGAGTTGGGTCTAGTCTCTTCAGGTTTGACCACTTCATCATGATCATTGAAAGGGAAATAGCCAATAACTTGTACTGATTCCAATAAATCTTTCAAGAATTGATATTTCGGTTGATTCAGAGATTTTGAGTATACGTAAACATTCTCAAATTTCAAGCCATTCGGGTGGGTAATAAGTGCAAGCACAGCATTGGTTTTGCCACAGTTGGAAGGTCCACATATGATTGCACGAACAGTATTTGGTAAGAGTGGGCCGTGCCGATTCTTTTTCTTGTCTTTCTTTTTATCCGTAATTCTATCGAAATTAATGACAGGCAGCTTGGAACTTTGCTCCTTGAACTCCATGACGACGACTGATGGAAAAATCTTTAAATACAGTGTATTTATTCATTTCCAGTCAGTCTTTGAGAGATCATGGTGGTGAACAAACGTGCCAAAACCTCCAAGGGTGAAGGTTTTGTGAATAAACTCATCAACAAGTTACCCATTGAATTGCATGTACCTGGCTATCAGTACTGTGGACCCGGGACAAAGCTAGCCAATAGATTGGCACGTGGAGATTTGGGGATAAATCCCCTGGATGCAGCGTGCAAAGAGCACGATATAACTTATTCAAAGAATCCAGAGAACTTGACAGCTAGACACGCAGCAGATAGTGTCCTTGCTGATAAAGCTTGGCAACGAGTTTTGGCCAAGGACGCTGGTTTAGGTGAAAAGGCAGTGGCTTGGAATGTTGCAAACGTCATGAATATGAAGAGAAAAATCGGCATGGGTGTTAATCGTAAACTGAATGTGAAGAAGAAAAAGAAGACTGGAAAAGGCTGTGGAAAGAAGTCTGGTGGTGGTAGTAAGAAGAAGACGTTGTTGCGTCATATTATGCAAGCTGCGAAAGGCTCCATGCACTCTGGAGTTGATCCGGTCAAGAGTGCATTGAAAGGTGCACGTGAGGCAGTAAAACATGCAGGAGGAAGGAAAAAAATAAAACCATCGT